TGATGAAAATTACAGGCCTCTCTCATCTTTTTAAGTGGGAGAACTTGCACAATTGGTGGCTGACTAAATACTTTTTTGCCCCACTGTATATACAACATACTTAATGAGAAAAACAGCAGCACTCTATAATCCTAGTATAAACTGGAGTATGGATTTTGTTATACCAACTTAATTGTTAGCCCACAATATATACAAGCATAAATAAGCAAAACAGAACTGACTGGCAGGGCGTTTATTTTGCCTTGACAACGCATATACTTTTTCTACAACTTTGGAATATGTATTTGTGTCTGTTCCACACATCTAATATAGACCTTTTCCTATAAGCATATTTATGTCTTTGTGTATGTGTGTTAAAAAATTATGATTACAATTTGATTAGTAGATTTTCTGACAGGCCTCTTACCACTTGTTGTGCAATATTGACATTAGACGGTCCAAATGTTTTCGGCAAAAGCTGTTTTCCAAGTGTTGAAGGATGAACAGCTACTAATGAAACAACACCTAAATGTCCAGACAAAAAGTTAAAAAATAATTAACAACTGACAATGCATATAACATCCTACCTTAACACTGAATATAGTGAAGATGTCTGTTTTTAATGTTTGATCCAGTTTCAGATCTGGTTCCAATGTATACTTCCAAGTTCAACAAGGCTGAACATATTTTTGAGGCCTGTAGAGATCCATTTATTGTGTAAAAAACTAGGATAAGATATGGAATCAGATGTTATGTGAATGGGTAGTCACATCCATAACAAGATTTCCTCTTAATTATCTTGTCCCTGCAGCCCCTTTTAAGTTTCTCAGCTCTTCCAGGGAGTTGGAGAACTCTCCAGAGCAAGGAATCACCATTCACTCTATTTCTGAAGGTAGAAACTGCTTCTGCTCAAGAAATATGCAATTAGGAGTTCACCTCAATTAGTTAAGATCAAGTCAATAAAACTATTACTTTGCTCTCTGGAATGAGAAAAGTTAACACATAAAGAACTATACTCAGGAATCCCTGGTCTCTCTATAAATGATCAACACAAATATCCAACTTTGCTCCAGAGTTAATACCAGGATTAAACACAGATGAGAACCTCTATATTTACAATTTAACCAATTTTCTGTCTTGGTAAGACTTCAGTGTCAAATTTTTCCAGTCCTATTAACAAAGATTGCAGCCTTATTTTCCAGTTTAAGCATTTCCAATTCTAGAGGAACTCAATATATTTTCCCCCTTCTTCCAAACTCTACCCCCTCAAAAGAATGCTCCATTAGATTACTGGGGAGTAGTGAAGAAAGAAGGGAGAGTTCCATTCCTTCAACAACAGCTTTGTGCATTTTTCTGCTGGACATAAAAAAGGGAGCTTCCCTCCTCTAGGAGCCCAATAATTACCAGAAAACCAGGACATCTTCAAACCTATACTGTGTAATTCCTTAAACACAAATGACAAAAAAATTATTACCTTTTCCTGGACTAAGATTTTGATCTATAAAAACCTTTAACTCTCCATTAGCTTCAATGAGACCAGCCTATGAGAGAAAAAAATCACATGAAAAATAATCTGTAAACAAATTATATTCTATCAGCTTTTGTAGTAGAAAGAACATTTGTGTTATGACACTTGATTTTATGGCCTTGAACAAATCTTCACTCTTTCTGCTTTAACACATCTTTTCAAAAATAGAAATATCAAGCAACACAATTTCTTCTACAGTTATTTAAATCATTGTCCATTTATGTGCAGGCATAAAAAATAGATACTAAAACCTTTCTTACATAGATTATCTGAGCCATTTTGGAAGGAATAAGAAATATGATAGTGTTAATCAGTCCTACAAAATATCTTTCAGCTACAGTATCAAACTCTCAACTTAAACTACATTGAAGGAACTAGGAGAGGTTATTGCAGAACTGTTTTGTAATCTTTGAGAAATGGAAAATAAGTAAACATTCCCAGAAGACTGGAGAACAGTAAATGTTTATTCCCATATTCAAAAAGGGGAAGGAGGAGGACTCAGGAAAATGCAGACCTGTCAGCTTGATATGTATAAGGGGCAAGCTCCTAACAGCATGTTTGTGAGCATTTGAATAGGCATGCTAGTATCCAGTTAACAGGACCTAGCACCCATTTTGTTACAAACAAATAATGTCAGACTAACCATATCTCCTTCACTGGTAAGAGTTCCTATCTTAGTAGAATGGGGAATGCTGTATGCATAGTATACCTGGACCTCAGCAAAGCCTTACACAGAACGTTTCGTATTTTTCTTAACAAAAATGGCAAAATATGGGGCAGATCAATGGTTCGCAAACTTTTTCAAACCATGGAACCTGTTAAAAAAAAGTCCTGGAACCCTGATCAACAGACAAATCTCTGATGATAGAAAAGTGGCTGTGTTTAAATGCATTTTTGGGGGGCCCTTAATCTCTCATGGTACCACATCAAGGATTCTGCAGAGCAGTTTGAAAAATTCTGGGCTAGCTGGTACTTCTGTTTGATGGACTCACGGTTGACTGAATGACACACATTCAGTGTTTGTTAATGGCACCACTTCAGCTTGTAGCGATGGAGTGAATGTAGTGCATTAGGGTCCTGTCCTGAGCCTGTGTTATCCATGACTTGGATGAGGGAGTTGAAGGGATGCTTATAAAGCCTGCAAGTGACATAAAGGTAGGAGGGATGGCGGGTAATACTTTAAGATTCAAAAATATTTAGACAGGTTTGAGCCATGTTCTGAAATTTATATTATGAAATTAAGGGAAAGAAATGTAAATTTCTGCATCTGGGAAGGAAAAGAAAGAGGCACAAGTTTAGGATGGGGGAGATATGGCTTGGCACTAGTACTTGGAAAAAGGTTTCGAACCAGCAGTATGACACAGCTGCTAAAAAGGCTAAAATTCTATTTTGGGATGTGTTAGCAAGAGCATAGAATGCAGGCCACAGGAAACTTATTTATTTATTTAACAGTTTTTGGTTTTTTTTAAAAGATCAAATAAGCAAGTAAAAGAAGAAAAAAATAATTGGTACAGAAATACAGTATCTATAAGTGGACAAAGGAATGATCAAGGTTGTACAGTTAGTGCTCAATATATCTTTGATTACAAATTCATCATAACAACATTAAATTACATTTAAGTAGATTATTTTAACAAATAATTTAAATCTCTGAGCTAAGTGCCAAAATCTCCACTAAGAGATTGTTAAGAATACAAAAGAGAGAAAAGAAAAAACTACTATACCATGGTAGATAAAAATTAGTTTCTAACTTCCCCCTTGTACTCCAACTAATGTACAATATTTATAGACATTTAATTTTTTTGTGCGTGTCTAATTTCAGTTTTTTAGTCAGTTCTTTTTCCTCTTAAAAACCATATTATAGATAACTGTAGCCATTCTTGCTTAAATTTGGTTAAAGTTCTGAATATATGCTGTTAATTTTGAATATATTCTCTAAATTTTAAGTTCCCACTCTGATTTCTTCAGTAACATATCTCTTTTCCAAAGTTACACTAAATTTATCCTTGCTGCTGTGAACGTGTAAATTGTGATATTTTTTGTTAATATGTTTTGGAATTACGCCCAGTAAGTAAGGTTCCATTTCAAATTTGATTTCTAAAATTCTCTGAATAGTTCTGTGTATTTCTTTCCAGCACTTTTGAGTTTTTTTACATGTATACCACATATGATAAAATGTTCCTCTTGTCTCATGGCGTATCCAACATTTATTATTAAGAAAATCGTTGTCATGCTCTACTCTGCCCTGGCCAGACTACATTTGGGGCCTTCATCTGAATAATACCAATTCAAAAGGCATAGTGACAAATTGGAGCAAGTTCAGAGGAGTTCAGGATCCTGAGGTGTTGGAAACTAAGCCCTATGATGAACAGTTAAAGAGAATGGGGTATGTTTAATATTCAATAATAGTCTTAAAATATCAGAAGGGCTGTCATATCAAAGAGGAAAAGGACCAGCCCTAATGGATCCTGCACTAAGCAGGGGGTTGAACCAGATGACCCCTAAAGTACCTTCCAACTATGATTCACTTGCCAAACAACTGCTCTATCCATGCAATGAACAGATGTTGGGACATTTCTTCTTAGATAACATACTGAAGAAAAAAGAAAGAAAAGAAAAAAGAAAAAAAGACTAAAAAGTTTGAAATGAAATTTCAGAGATTTCTAAAAGATAAAGCATTAAAGATCCTGTTTTTCCTCCAAAACATATTTATGAAGTAGATATGCACCACTCACTACAAATAACCCCAAATATTGAAATAAACTAATATTATGCCAACTTTAACAAATCTCACTGCAGATAACTGATAAAATATGCCATCATATGTAAGTTCATATATCCCAATAAGATTAAAATAGATGCATTAAAAGTAAGGAAAAATGAAGTGTGTTACTAAGACATGTTTCATTTTCTATTTTGTTTAAATTAGGTGTTCCTAATTTAAGTAGTTTGGTGTACTGTGGTATTGCAAAGTTTTAGAAGAGCTATTGTAGAAGAGTTTTTGATCCGCTAGAATAGCTTTTCAAGAATATATAAAGCTGTGGCTGGATATCCCCCCCCCCCCCCCCCCC